TGATCGTGGAGGTTGGGGAAGCTGACAGGTATGTCCTGTGGCTTTTAGAAAGCATTCCCTTCACTGTCTGTCCCTCTCCGACACATTAAGAATTCATGAAGATCCAGGTGGGGTGGCACAACAAACAAACGTTGTCCCCACCGACCAGCGTGCCTCTCCCTGGCGTGGACATCTGTGGTCCTGGCTGGCTTTGCCCAGAGCAGGTTACATAGCTTCAGCGCTCCCAAGAGGCTTCTGCACCTTCCAGAATGTCAGAAGGATTCCTAACTTATTGAAGCGTTCACCTTTTAAAAATATTTGCAGAAACCTTCACCAAAAACACAATAAAATAGTATTAATGAAATATTAAGAAATTATTAGCACAAGCCCTTTTCTCAAGTTCCTTGTTGTCTGCATAGCCTTTTCGCATACACTTCTCCGGCCTCAGCACATGGGCTTGGTGTTCCTTTTACAATTAAGGAAAGTGATTACAGAATTACTGGTTGTTAATCTGTGGGTTTCTGCCCACCCCTGCTACCTCTGACCCGAGAGGTCCTAAAGTTAAACAAGGTTAAGGCCTGAACATAGCAGTGGTGCAAGAGGTCAAAGCTATCCTCTTACTAACATTCCCAGACGCTAGCCAGTGCTCTGACAAAGCCAGGCAGGGGAATTCAGGTTGGGTGTCCAGTGAGATGCAGTAGAAAGAACCACTCACCAAGGTGAGGGATGGGGCATTGTGCAGTAAGCCTGCCTTGTGTGGCTTGCAAGCCACCTAGCTTGCCTAACCCTCTGGCTCCTTTTCCTTTATATAAGGAGTATGAATACCATTATTTGTTAGAGCGTGGATGACATTATTTCTGTGTTACTATTAATAATGCAGTAGGGATGACATTATTTCCCTTTCCTCCGTAAAAACTCCGGTTCTTAAGGAGCAAAGCCAGCAACTTGAATTCTTAAAATTATACATCCAGGCCCAGTTGTCTGATTGGAGGCTATGTGGTTTTGCTCGCTTGCCAGCCACGTTCATATGAGTAAAACACAGACATGCACATCACAAACACCCCCCCCCCCATTTTGGATATCCATTTAGGAATACTACTAGCTTTTCTCAACAGGCTACAGTTCCTGCCTGCTGGCTTTGTGGATGTGGAAGTGCCTCTGACAGTAAGTTAGCTGGTGGGCCCTTCAGCAAATTTGAAGGGCATGAAAGGTAGAATAACTAGAAATTCCAGGTAATATTTAACATTTATATATGTGCTTCATCTGTAAATGCATAGATGTTTTTATATAGTAACAGAGTAAGCCTTCATGTACAATAAATATTTCTAATCTCTTAGATAATAATCCATTTCCAAATATGGTTCAGCTGACTGACAGTAATCAGGCAGTAATCTGAGATGTGATATTTTCAGAATTTTGGGTCACATGCAGTTGTGATGGGGGAAAACACCTGAAATAAATGATTTTCTCATCATTTATAGTGATGACTTGGCATTCTAACTGTATTTTAATATACTTTCCAACAAGGTTGCCCAAAATGTCACATAAATATATGTCCAAAAACTATCCCCAAGATGCCAAGTAAATAGAGCCATATTTTGTCATTTTGATCTGTGTTTTTGACAGAGCATTTACACTAACCTGGTGTCACAACTTCCCAGGCTATGGTATACAATTTTTTAAAACATTACTTCTTCTTTTGTGTCTGCTTCCCAAATTACATTTCTACCAAAAATATATGGAAGTTCTGCCTCAAATTCTTGAAAAATCCAGACCCACAGTCAGTTAGACTGAAGGACTCGCTGAGACTGTTGCTCTGGGTATGCTCAATGGCGAATGGAAACTAGCTCCTGAGTCACCTTGCAGCTAAATAAGAAATTGGCTCACAAAATAAAGACTATTCCTGGGTGTACCATTATCCTTCAGAATATCACCTAATGGTCAGCAAGATTTGAAACAAAGAGGAGAAGGTAAGGGGCAGGCAAACCAGATTAACGGCAACAGAACAACCAGAACGAAGTAGTGAGAATGTGCATGCATCGTGAAGACTTAACCTATGTCATTGGGCAGCTTTTGTATAAAAATTGTTGAATGGGAACCTAAACTGCTATGTAAACCTCACTGAAAATATAAATAAAAAATTGTTTTACAAAAAGAAAAACAAAACAAAAAAATACATGGAAGTTCTGGAAAACAGAATGAAATAACTAAAAATCACCATTAATCTCACCACCCAGATATACCACTGTGCAACACAGAAATGTTAAAAAACAAACAAACAAACAAACAAAAACACTGCTGTGGAGTCGATTCTGACTCACGGAACCCCTAGAGGACAGGGCAAAATTGGGTTTCCAAGGCTGTCAGTCTTTACAGAAGCAGATTGCCCATCTTTTCCCACCAATCAGCTGGTAGGTTTGAGCCTCCAACCTTTTGGTTAGCAGTGAAACGTTAAGCGCCGTGTAACCATTTCATCTGTCCAGATCTTTTTTTGCATGGCAAATACACATTGTTAAACAAACGGGATTGTGCTGTACATAGTGTATGTAAATCCTACCCCCTCCCCTTTTTTTAATAGCTTGCGTGGCGTGGCATTCGGAGAAATAGCTGCTGCATGGTATAGAGAATACGTGGATATTTAGATGTGGATGTTTAGGGTCGTTTGCAGCCTTTCATGATACAGATAACGCTGCAGCGCATGTCCTTTGGAGTTGCTGTCGTCAGTTTGATCCTAGATAACGCAGACATTCTTTTCTAATTAGCATTTCATCTTTTCAAAGATGACTTCAGGGGATAGTTTTGCTTCAGGGTTCAAAGATTTCCTCAGGGTGAAAGGATCAGTGGTCATGCCTCATTGGCTCCAGAAAGTCTGGATTCCCTGAGAATTTGAGATTCTGTTCTGCAAAAAAAAAGGTCTGGGTTTCTGATAAGCCAAAAAGTGACGCCATTTTGAACTTGCATTTCTTCACTGAGCTTTTTTTTGGTGTGTGGATTTGCTGGCCATTTGTATTTTTTTCTTTTGTGAGTCACTGTTCCGATCTCAAGTCCATTTTCCTACCCAGGGTGGGGCCCTGCCTTCTTGGTCATTGTCATTTCTGTGGCTGCCCGGCAGCTGGAGGGTTGGTACAGCCAGTTCCGCACTCCAGTGGCTGCTGGCTCCCAGGAGTTGAGTTTGCTGTGGTTACTGCGTGTGCTGCTTCAGAAAGTGTAACTGCCAGTAGCTCTGTCATCACAAATGCCACGTGAAGTTTCGACCTCCGTCTAGAGTAGTCTCCAGTGTGTTGCAAAGAAGATAAAACCACTAAGGACAACAGTAAGCCCGGGTTTTCACATTATTCGTGGCGCAAAACCTTAACGTGCTCAGCTGCTAACCGAAAGATTAGAGGTTTGAGTAACACCCAGAGGTACCGTGGAAGAAAGGCCTGGCGATCTGCTTCCAGAAAATCAGCTACATAAAGTTGGGCATCCTTGCAGACAGGAACACAGCTGTAATTCACAAGAGTTCCAAGTGGCATCTGCTCCTCCTTTTCTCTCACCTCTAGGGCTGGTTCTGTTGCTGAAATGTGCAATGTGTGAGCATTCCTTTTTCCTTGGCCACCGTCTTTCTGTGCATGCATAGAAAATCTTTGGATCAAGGGGTGCGGAATCCTCATGCCTTTGTTTTTTCTTTCTTCTTCCTAGTTTCCTGTAGACACTGCACTGACAGCCGTTTCCCAAGCTCTAACTGTTGTCCTGTCTGGGAGCAGAGAGAGCTTGTCATCAGCTGATGATGGTCAGCTCACAGGCTTTGCTAATACTTTTTTTTTTTTTAATATTTTATTGTGTTTTTGGTGAAAATACACAGAGCAGAACACACTCCCATTCAACAATTCCCACGCGTAATGTTCAGCTACATTGGTTACCTTCATCACGTGTCAGTATGCTCACTATTTCTGTTGTAGTTGTTTCACTCCCATTAACTAAGTTTCACTGTCCCTCAGGCTTCTCATCTATGCTTTAGAGTAACTGTTGTCTGTTTGGCCTCATGTAGGTTATTTAAAAAAAAAAAAACAGTGCAGTACTCAAAGGCGACATTCTTTACTTTTTTGAGCTAAGCAGCTATTTAGTTTAAGGAATAAATTCACTTTAAGATTTAAATAGTATCTTAGGGCAGCGGTCTTGGGGACTTCTCTAGCCTCAGTGGGTCCAGTAAGTCTGGATTCTTTAAGAATTTGAAGTTTTGTGCTTAAAAGCATTTGACTGCTAACCAGAAGGCTGGTGGTTCAAACCTACCAGCCACTCCACTGAATGAAGACTGGGCAGTCTACTTCCTTAAAGATTCACTGCCTCAGAGACCCAAAGGGGGTTGCTGTGAGTCAGAATCGACTTGATGGCAGTGAGTTTGGTTTTGGTTTTGGATCTTCAAACTAAGAAGCCCTGGTGGTGCTTGGCGGCTAACTGAAAGGTCAAACCCACCAGCCACTCTGTGGGAGAAAGATGAAGCGGTCTGTTTCCATATAGATTTATGGCTTTGTAAACCTTATGGAGCAGTTACTCTACCCTGCAGTGTTGCTGTGAGTTGGAGTCAACACGGTGCCAATCAGTTTTTTTATCTCAGACACCCAAGGAGGGGTCGCTATGAGTCAGATCCAACTTGACAGCAGTGAGTTTGGTTTTTTTGGTTTTATCAGATACAGAGCATGTTCTAACAAGGCAAAAGGTAGAACACAATCATTTTTATCAACAATGTAAGATAGGCAGTTTAACCTTTTGTTACAAGGTTTTATTTTTAATCAGAGAAAAATGTATAATCCATCTTGTTAAAAGAAGGGTGATACATACATAAAAATAATTTTAAAGTGGACTACAGACATAAATATAAGAGCCAAAACTATACACAGCTTATAGAAGAAATCACAGGAGACAGTCTCTGTGGCCTGGAGCTTAGGCCAAGAGCCTTAGATAAGACACAGAGAGCATAAACCACCAAGACTAAAATCGAGAAATCAGATTTGATCCAAATAAAAAATATTTGCTCATTGAAAGACACTTAAGAAAATAAAAA